GATTTTATTGAATGACTGAAATTTCGTATGAAGTGGGCTAGTGTAAGAGTTTAAAACAATGATTTTTCAGGTAAAGAAGAAGCTGGTAGTTATGAAAAAATTTCAAATGTCACATTAAATGGATGTATCATGAAATGCTGTGAATCTGATGGTTGTAATGTGGTTTTCATGAACAAAAATGATTGTTATACGGTACCCACTACATTTACTTATTATGACTTTATATACTGGTGAATAAACTAGTTCATTATAAAAAATTATCGTTCAAATATTTTATTGCTATATCATTTTGTCTCGATAATAATATGATTTAGTTAAATTAAATATATTATACATCACTATTAGGTAGAACAATAATAAGTACATAGACAAATAATAAAAATAGTGATAGATTGATAAACATTCTCTTTGATAGTGTTTTAGATTAAACGTTACAATTATTATACATTGCTATACTGTTATTTAAATGATTATTAGTAAGTTTAATATGTAATGTAGTGAAAATGGTTTTAGATCTACAGGTACTTGTATTTGTTATTGTAAATAAAATAACTCATACTATCAGTTAGAAAGTTTTTATCCGTGGATTTTAGACTTTCCAACATCATTATCTAAATGTCTAGTGTTTTTCTATTTCCATCAGCGCCAGTTAAGCTAATTTATTATATTATATAAACATTTTTAGTCAACTCAGTAGTCAGTAACATTTGTTTCAAAAATCCATTCCCATTGTTAATATTTTTATTTTTTCTATTAGCTGTCATGCAAAACAAATGATGACTGTCTACCAATTTATRCTAAAGAAAATGTATTGAATTTCAAAATGATTTTAGTAGCTCCAAAATTACCTGTTAAGGATTGGACAGTTATATTGGAAGAAAACAGTTTCTCAGAGCCTGAGTAAATATCAATTTGACTTTTTGCAAGGTGATTCTTTTATCAACAAACATTTAATATTTTGAAAGATATTGAGCTGTAGACATACATTTTGTGTGATATTCCTGTATCACATCACTACATGACTAAACAATAAAATATAATGCTAATATTCTCTTAAAAGTATGGAAAAATATGGGTTTATATGAATGTTTTATATTATTTATAATATAATATTCTATCAACATTAAAATATGTTCTTCTATGTTAAAAAAAATCTTTAGATATATTTTGCATACAAATTTACCTTCTATTAGCAACTAGGTAATCAATTAAAGGTTTAAAATTGAAAAATGTTAATACATTTGATTATTTGATGATAAAAGAATCATCCAGTATAGTTACCAATTCTGTATGTTTAATAATATATGTCTATTTAAATATAATATTAGAGACGCTAGAGTTGTATACCCCTTAGAAAAAATATGCGAAGTGAACAATGATTGCACAGATAATGAACTATGTGACGCTCAAATTGGTGTTTGTGTTTGTTCTGAGGGTTACCAATTAGACGAAACTAAGAAATTCTGTTATTCAAATACTGGTAATTTGGGATTAGGATCAAACACATCTGGTTATGATGTTGATGATATAAACAATGTTATACCAGAACAACAACAACAATTTGACAGTTTAAAAAAAGTAAATAAAAACAACTATTACATTTTTATTGAAATATTTATTTTGATAATGTCAACATTTTTTAGGTACCGGTTGAAATTGAATCACTAAAACCACCCGAAATCAAACATTTAGTTGTTTCAGTTTTGTCTAAAACTGTACGACTCCCGGAAAACGAAGCTACACTTTCTGCTTATACTGTACCAGCGGATGACACAGGCATATAAAACTTGTTTACTATTAGTCTGTTACTGGTTACAAATTTTAATTTTAATTCAATAATGATTTAGGTCATAGTTATCAATATGAATGGTCACTTATTTCAAAAACTCAGGGATCTGGGCAAACTGTATCAATGAATGATCAGAATGGAAGCACATTGAAACTTTCTCACTTAGTTGAAGGTCTATATACGTTCAAGGTAACTGTTACCGGTACAGGTGCTTTTGGAGAAACACAAGCCAATGTCACAGTATTACTACGTAAGTCTAAATTACAAATATATTTTATTAGTATATTGTATTAAAATTATATTTTGTAAAGCGCAAAGAATTAATAC